ATTTTTTGGTGAAAAATCTTAATTTCTTCGGAAAGTTTCGAAACCTCGACAATACACTCACACACAACACATCGACTCCGCTTTCATTATGTCAGTGGCTGTTTTTCCCCCCCATTGACTTCCACTATATTCACATTTTACATTGATCATGCATTCCTGATTGCTGGTGGTTTTCTCTGTTGGGAAGAGGCACAGTTCACAGTTTTTAATGTTGATGCAAAAAAAGCATAGATTCTGGCTTTTATATGGAGTATAGCGAGTGTGTGTGTGTGCGTGTAGGAGAGACTTGTGCACACGTATCTTGACATGTCTGAGAAAAAAAAAAAAAAAGCCTCTCAGTCAACTGGTTGACCAGGCTGGTTTCCAGCCATTTCCAGCCTGGACTTAGCCGGTCAGGCTGGAAAATGACCAGCTAAATCCAGCTAAAACCAGCTTGACCAGCCTGGTTTAAGCTGGATATAGCTGGTTTTGGCTGGGCAAGCTGGTTTTAGCTGGTCATCTCCCAGCCTGACCAGCTAAGACCAGGCTGGAAATGGCTGGAAACCAGCCTGGAAGTGGCCAAAACCCCTCTAAAACCAGCCTGGTTGACCAGCTAAAACCAGCCTAGGCTGGTTTAAGCTGGATTTTTCAGCAGGGTACTTTCCCTCGAGTGTATTTTTAGTGCTGTATCGGTACTTTTACTCAACTACTGTATTTTTTCTTGTCTATGGGGATTAGAAAAATCAGTCCCGTGATTCCCGTCCGATCAAATCACACGTTGAAGATCGCTCGCATCGTAATGAACAACCTCAAGACATGGGCGCTTTATAATTGCAGCAAACCCCGTTTGGAAGCGTTAAAAGTGTCCATGAAGATCAAAATCTTTACACGCGTTGACCCAGAGACTGTTAAGATCACTGATAGGAAGATGACGGATGTTTACGCTATGATGACAGAAATGGCCTTAAACACCCAGCACAAGATGTCAACATGAGGTCAGATTGACGTTGTACCCCATCGTCGTGGGGACGTTGCATTTTGTTTGAAATCGGGTTGACGTCAGGCCAACATCAGTGTCCAACCTCCAACCTAAAATCAACCAAATATCAACGTCTAACGATGTAACAGCTTGACGTTGTGTGGACGTTACCACCATGACGTCTATCAGACTTTGGATTTTGGTCGTCATACTTATAAATAAATGTCAGTATTTGATGTAAATATGACGTGGGTTTAAGATGTCGGCTCGACGTTGGATTTTGACACAACCTAAAATCAACGTCATTTGACGTCAATCCTGGACATCAAAATAACGTCTTTAGATGCTGGCTAGACATTGATTTCATGTCACCTGACGTCACGACCTAAATCTAACCTAATATTAACGTCTTACGACGTTGTGCGCCTGCTGGGCAATAACTAAACGCACTACAGAATGTTACGTGTACACACACGTCCACAAACTACATGTAAATGCATCAGCTTTTTACTGCGCAATATTGAGTACTTTTGAAAGGGCTACTTTTTACGCATACTTTGAGTAATATTTACAACAGATACTCCTACTTTACTTGTATTTTTGGTGCTATAACTTGAGTATGACTTTTCAGTACTCTTCCTATCACTGACGGTGACAGATCGCACACACACACACTTACTATAATCTGTTGTATTCCTCCACTGAACTCCATATATAACCTGTTTGTGCACAGGCCTATCTATAGGGTCAATGCAGCCAATGTTACCTCTTTCCAACAGGGAAATCAAGCAACAACCAAGAAAGCATGACTATGGCTTCGCAATCAAAAAATGTGATTATACTGGAAGTCAATGGGGCAAAAACAGCCCCAGCATTGGTAACTGAAAGGTCACAAATAGATACATGATATGAAAGTCGCTCATTATCAGGGAAAGTACGACTGCGTTACTTTAAAGAACATTTAAGTTGTTAAATGACTATGACATAACTATAAAACACTGTACTCTAATCTGCACTATTTTAATGTTGTTGTGGGACAATGCGAGAGACAACCATCAAATTCAACACATCATTATTAACATAAACACTCCTGCCTTTCACCTCAACGAGGGTAAAGTAGTGCTTATATTTCCTGTTTGCCAACGCTTCCTTTGAACTTGTTGGATCTGCCATCATTCTGAGTCCTGGTCGTTGGTGTGTGCCACTGACCCTGTGTGTGCGTATGTGTGTGAACGAACCCATTTTTTTTTTTAGTCATTGGTGTAATCACCCGAGTAAAGGGAAGCTGCAGGCCCAGAGAATATAGTTATATATATATATATATATATATATATATATATATATATATATATATATATATATATATATATATATATATATATATATATATATATATATATATATATAATATATAAAAAAATAAATATATACACACACACACACACACACACACACACACACACACACACACACACACACACACACACATACACACACA